GAACATCTGCCGTATGCCCTGGAACATCTGCCCTATGAGGAGAGGCTGAGGGAGCTGGGCCTGTTCACCCTGGAGAAGAGAAGGCTGAGAGGGGAGCTGATCAGTGTCTATAAGTACCTCAAGGGAGGCAGTGAGGAGGATGGTGCTGGCCTCTTTTCAGTGGTGGCCACCGACAGAACTAGAGGAAACGGCCACAAACTGAAGCACCAAAAGTTCCACATGAACTTAAGGAAAATTTTTAACAGTGAGGGTGACAGAGCCCTGGAACAGGCTGCCCAGAGAGGTTGTGGAGTCTCCTTCTCTGGAGATCTCCCAAACCCGCTTGGACGCAGTCCTGTGCCACGTGCTCTGGGTGACCCTGCATGTGCAGGGGGGTTGGACTAGATGACCTCTAGAGGTCCCTTCCAACCTTAAGCATTCTATGATTCTGTTGGTATTTTATCAGTTCATTTATATATTTTTGTTTACTATGTTTTTTTTCTGCCTTTTTTTTTTTCTTTTTCTAAGAGTAGCCAAACTATAGGTGAAGATTAGAATTGAACTAAGCTCAAAGAGGCTTGTATTGGACATATTTTCAACATTACACTATGTAATATCTGCTTTGGAATGAACTTCAGGGCAGTTTTCAAATGTACAGTCATGAAGAGTTGAATATCAGTCTTTCGGTTATGTCCATCACTGCAGAAATAGCTAGAATGTCTGGCAATTTGGCCACAAATCTCATAAGAACAGACATTCCATCAAAAAAAAAAAAAAAAAAAAAAAAGCAAGGGGCATCAATTATGGTGCTACAACAGCCAAAATGGGCCTAGGGCAAATTCCTCTGCATGCTTGATCCTTGATCCTTGCGGAAGTCCAATTCTGTCTGAAATTTGAGCTTGGCTGCAACCTTACAAACTCCCCTGCCCTGAGAGTGAACCTGTCTCTCTACAGATTCTGCACAAAAGTCAGGGGTTTCAACCCACCTCAAATAGCAGCAGCATTTCAGTATTGCTGGGGACGTGGAGCAAAATGAAAGGTAGATATTTATTTAACTATATTTAACTAACTATCCTCCCCCATCTTTTTTTTTTTTTTTTCTCAAAATGGTGTTTGATGATGTGTGCATATTAGCCCCTCTGTAAAAGATGACCTTATATATTTTAGAAGAGGAACTTTTTTCAGTGTCTCGCTCGGCTCTGTGAGGACAATTTGCTAGTCAGCACGATTTTGCCCTTTTTTTCTCAAGGAAAACGTTCCTCACGGGTCCGTTTTTTTCCCTGCGCTCTCCTACTCCGTATGTTAAGGCTGATGGCAGCGAGTGTCATCCTGTGGCTGCGTGCGGTGGCTGCTGGGGCTGAGGCACATGGACGGAGCCCACGGCTGCTCTCCAGATTTAGCACCGCTAGATATAGCTGAAGTGGCTGTCTCCGCGCGGCGGAGCGTGGGGCCGCGGCAGAGGCGAGTGCCGCGTGGGCTGCACCATGTGCCTGCGCGGCGGGGTGAGTGTTTGGGTGGTGAGGTTTGCGCTGTCACAGCAGCACGCTCTGTAGCTAATCCGAAGCTAGCTTGGCGCTCTCGAAACCATCTACCACAAGGGGACCCACTGCATTTAGGAGATGTGCTTCTCGTTTAGCTTCAGGCTCACTGTCATGGCTGAGACTCCAAAGAGGCAGCATGCTCTAGGTAGCAGAGCCCTGGCAAAGAAATCTGCTTTTCCTTGCAAAGCTGCCTGCATCCCTGCATTTCTTTTCCCTTGCATCCTTTCCTCATGCAAACTGCCTCTTCACACAGAGTTAATGCTATTGGCTCCTGAATTCAGGGCTGCGGCATAGTAATACAGATAAAAACTGAATGTCTGGTGCTGTCTGTCAGAAACTGGTCTATTCTAAGCATTCAGTTAGGTTTGGGGAGGGGATGTTAAGTGATTGCAGCGGTATTTAAAACGCTCTCCTATGGCTGTGTAAGAACTGCACTTGCTCCTCATTCAGCCTGCTGTAACATACCCCTACCAGGTAAATGACGTTTTTCTTTCTGTTTCCCTCACCATCGGTTTGAGAACCAACCTGAGCGAAACCGAGATGAAATAGGAGCCCATGACTCTGTCCCACCCTCTCCCTGTCTCACCGGTCCCCTAAGAGGGCAGACAGACAGGCAGCTTTGCAACCATGCAGAGGTTGCTTTTCTCCTTCCTATTCCTCAGCTGCTAGAAAAGTAGTCAGCCAGAAAATGCATGCAGATATCAAGCCTAGCTGATAAATGAATAGCTCTCCATAATATAATCCTCCAAGATTTTATGTGAATTAGAAAAATAACAAGAAGCCATGGACAATGTGGCAGGCAAGGTTTAGTGACCAGCCTCTGAAAGCTCTTTTGGGTGACCTTGGTCATTAGATATTGGCTGGAGGTGTCTGTCTTTAGCTAAGCAGGAAGAACTCAGATTAGTTATTCACCTAAGATCAGAGTTTACCCTATTTCTGCCTAGAAATTAGTACTAAAATACTGCCTGTGGTCCACCATGAAAATCATTGTTATTTGATGCAAGCAAAAAGATATTTCTAAAAATACAAACTTTTGCAATGGTTCAAAACAACAAAGTGGGGAAGTAAATAGAGCATATTTGAATGTTTGATGCAAAGTCTTTAGAAATGGTAAGTGCTGGGTAAACCTTCCATCATAAAAAATAGCGATACAATGCAGAAGTAAATGCTGAATAGAAAGAGGCAATATTCAATCTCTGCTTCTGGGATTTTCAAAGAAAAAAAAAAGAGGAGAGAGATAAAAAAAGAAAGGAATGCCAAACCTAGGTAGATCCTTTTGAAACTCACATTCAATGTATTTCAATGTATTTGTCCTCTGTAATTTTCTCTTTCAAAAAGCCGTCTCAAAAAAAAAAAAAAAAAAAGATGTCACTTGACCATGATCAGCCTCTGCCAGCCAATCCAGTAAGGAAAGCACTATTACAGAAATAGTAGCATTTACATTCAACTGCACTCTTCAGTGATATATTTTTAGGAGGGTGCCTGTGAGCGTGCACTTGAAATTCTGCATCTTTTTAGCATGACCCCTTTATATTAGTCTGTGGCAGTCGTGCTGCCGCGGAGCCCAGGCAGGCTCCAGGGAGGTGTGTGAGCTTGCAGTGCTCCATCCAGATGGAGTTCACACCCACTACAATTATGTTTGCAACACGTGATTTGCTTAAGGTGCCTGTGGATGTTTCAAAGTGTAGGATGGCTTCAGTAAAGCAGCCTCTAAAGGAAGCAGTACCAATCCATAGCATCTTTACTGCTGAAATTTTCCTGGAGGAAAGTACATCTTTCTGATTAGACCAGTCTGTATACTTTTCCTTACAGGCCAGAGAGAAAGAGATGGACCTGGGAAATAGCTGTGAAAAGGCTGATATTGCTGGATCTCTTGCATCCAAGCTCGTGAAACCCAGACAGCATAAAGAATTGTGAGTTTTATGAAGAGCTGTATGCATCCTACCAGAGCTGTGGATTGCTTGCTGGCATTCTTAATGGGTTCCTTGGCCTGGGTATCAAGCTTGAAAGTAAACCTGAATCCTCCCTCTTGTTATTAGGATAATTTCACTTTCTCTTATTACAAACAGAAGTTCTGAATCTTGCTTCAGAAGCAGGCTCTGGATCTGGGATGACAATGCCATTACCAGAGCATAAACTCGGTTCACAAACTTCACCCTCATTATGTGCCCATACCTATTACCCAAAGCAGGTGGCATGCGAGTATTTCCTGCTTCCATGGAAGTCAGCACCACAACTTCTATTGACCTCAGTGAGATGGCATGTCCCTCAGTGGAGTGGTATTCTGTTTCATATATTTCTTCCATTGATTTATAGAGTATCCATTGCCACAGCAGCTATTAACCTTCAGTTAAAATAGGACTTCAATAACTGAAAATATCACTCTGAGTTTTCTTTGTAACAATCAATATGTTTTCTTCTAGAAGAAACATAAATATATATTTAAAGAACTAGTCATATCAGATTGCTAGCTATGAGATGCTAGCTCATTTTTCTCTGCGTTTCAAATTTATCCTTATCAGTCTTTAACCATCAAAATTCTCCATTCAGGAGAATTACAAGGCTGAGGGTGGGGATAACTATGTGTTAATTAGTTGTGATGAGTCTGATGAGAACCATGGCAGGAGAGATTTACATGTGCATTGCAAGAAGTTCAAATGAGATTTAACTTGCCTAGGAACGATGAAATCTGGGTGAATAAAAATATATAAGGGTGAAAGTTTTCCCTAAGATGTACTGTCAGATGTTCTGATAAAGATGGGTAAGGAGTTTACAACTTGAGCAATTCTTGGTCAGCTTTGGGACTCTGTGACAAAGAAAACCAGGGAAGATCTGTAAATGCACCTGATTTGCAGAGATGCTGAACAAGTACAACTTCATTGCCTCTTCCCCTTCCTCTTCCACCATTAGGAATGTATTTATGTGAGCTGGAAACTGGTTTCACACAGGGGCAACTTAAGCAGAAGCAGGTATTCATTACAAGTTTTCCTTCAGAACCTGTATTTGTGCCAGATATTCTCTATGTGCCATAATTGGCACAGTTTTCAAATATCATTGTCTCATGTCAACTGCAATGCAGATAACTGCATCTGGAAAGATCAAGAGCAGTACTATGACCTCCTCTTCTTAGATGGATAGAGCAACTAAACTGATGGGCAGGCTCCCTGAGGGCTTGTTTCGTTCCTCACCATAACCTAATAAAGAAGCTGGAAATAGATATGGATAGATGTGGACTAAGAGCTGTTATGTGCCTCATGTATCCATCTCCATGGATTAACATATATCCATGATCTAAAACCTCCTTTGTGATCATCAGAGGTCTTTATCTAACAACATTGAGGAGTGGCATCTTATTCTCATGTTGCTCCTTGCCTGTGCTATTCCTACCTTAGGCTTTTGGAAGAAACCTTTTGCTCCTCTCCACCCTCATAATTTGGGATTGAACCCTGTCAGCAAGCGCTGTCCACCTGAGAAGCAGGAAGAAGCCCTTAAAGACAGATGAGAAAGGGGCAGGTTGTTGTAATTTGTCTCTCCTGTCACTAGAGTGAGACATGCTCACGAGCATACTGGGCTCTCATTTGGGGAGGAGCTGAGCTGACCTTAGGGTGCTGGACCTGGAACTGAGGGAGCACTACACACCCTGGTAGTCCCTGACATCCTCAGCAGGCTGAGCCTGTGGCTCAGAAAGTCTGCAGTTTGCACCATTATATTGCAGTTGTGTATTTTTTGTACGAACGCCATAGACTAAAAGGGTGAGGGGTATGTGAGGAGGTAAAAAAAAATCCATTGCTGTGAACTCCTGATAGCTGTGACTACAGACCCCTGCTTTCTGGGCGTCCGATCTATAGTCTTCTGGATTCTATCAGCATCTTTCAACTGACTTCCAAAAGACTTTGAATCAAA